CGAGCCATTTGCGCCGGACAAGTGGCTAGTTTATTCAAACACATACAATGGAGCTCGGATGAGATATCCCCTCCCCCTCCTCTTCCTCATACCCCAAACTAACTCCTCCTCTGCGGCTCGGAAGTTGTCGATACTCCACGTTGCAGGCGGGGGAGCGATGCAGCCACGCACAGAAAGTGTGCACTACCTGTGGTTTACTCGTTCACGTTCACACACGTTCACATCATAGCGTTTTAATCTGAGGCGCGGCGTGTTTGCTTTGACAATTCAAATATTAAACTGGAAAGCACATCACATTGGACGCCAACGTAAACACTTAACAACGCGTTACTCATGGAAATTTTGTGGTAACGTGGTGTTCAACTTTAATTTTTGTGAATTATCGTGGATGTTTGGCGGATGTTTAACACGGTTCTGCTGGCAGTGTCTTTAGGGCCAGCTAAACTACTAGTTGCTCGGATGCGTGATGGGTCAGCAGAGAGCCTGAACTGCCAAGTTCAGCTGATGCAAGCTCTGTAGCGCCGAATGGGTGGGCAACATCTTGTCTGCAGTGCGTGCGTGTATTGCTGGGTGGCCTACCCCGAGACTCGCGGGCGCCGAGCTCCCGTAACCTGTCGAATGAATCTACAGAATGAGAAAACCGGACGTACTTTCTGGGCGATCCCAGATAGGGCTCCTCGAGCTGACGGACGGAAGGGTGCCAATGCTCGAAAAGTCACTTCTCTTTCTGCAACTGCTCCAATCTATAAAGTCATTTCGTTATAGTTTTCACGCCTTCGTGACCGTTTGGCAGAGTCAGGGTTACCGCTGTGGTATACGACGACAACACGACTGGATGTCAATGTCAGGGAGTCGGACGCCTGATGATCGGCCTATCGGTGTGCTGGGTAAAAACCTGCCTATTGACCGCCGGGGATCGTCAGTGTGGCCGCGGCCGCCACCACGCCCGACCAGGAGAGCTGCCCCAGCAAAGCACGTGCAGACAGCACTGTAAAAAAGAAAGTCTTCTGCATTGACAACGATTTGAAACCGTTGACACTGTGAGAAATATATTTGTACATGTACGATATATTTTGTAATTTGCCATTTACAAGACGAGTCGTACATGTACAACCTCCCGCTGTCGCTCGATATTCGATTCCAAGTCGATACATAGGGCGAATAAATTGTACAATTTTAGATTGTACTTGTACGACTTCTTCCATGGAAAATTTTCCTGTACCCGGTACGACAATTTTTCACAGTGTGACTCGAATCACGGTTTCAAACTGTGAAACTTTGTGGTCTATCCTACGGTTTTACGGTGAGAAAGTACAGAGCAAAAGCTATTCAAACTCCGTTGTGAATCATTTACTTAACAATTTAGAGCAGTAATATTCCAGTTAACGGTTTTAAACTGTTGTTAACTCTTGCTGATGTTGTGGATATTTTTTTACAGTGAGAGTGCGGCGACGCGAAACGCTGCACATAATCGCATTCCATGTGTGCCGGGCTGGGCTGTCAATGTTTACGGGCACTTACTATATTGCTCAGAACAATACTGACTCTGGAACCGTCCCTAGTATATGCTGTGCGCCAATAATTGTGCACGTGTTTTTTTGTTTTTTTTTGGGTGCGTGACGCGGGCATATCCTAATCCGCGTCACCCCGCCGCCCGACGCCGCACCGGCTGATTGTGCCGGTCACGCAACGGCCGCCGGACGCCGCCAGCCAGGCCCTTCAGGCGCACTGCAGCGTCACCATTACCGCCACAACCGCCACAACTACCACAACCACAATCACCATGCGCTGCTCGCGATCGACAACATAATTCTATAGTTTTCCTCCTTTCTCGGTTCTTCTTAATAATAATTTCAATTCAGATGAGAGACACTCTGGAAACACAAGTGTGTACTTGAATGCAGGAGGTTCTGTGTACTCACATGTATGCAGGAGGTAGTGTGTACTTGGTCAAGTACACACTAAGTCTCCTGCATAAATGTATAGGGGTTATCGTGTGTACTTGAACAAGTACACACTACCTCCCGCATACTTGACCAAGTAAGTACACACTATCTCCTGCATACTTGCCAAGTACACAGGACCTCCTGCATATGTGTAAGTACACAGGACCTCCTGCATTCAAGTACACACGTGTGTTTCCAGAGCACTTTTGTGGTGCGGGCTAACCGCGCTCGTACGTTGTACGGCTTTACTTCCACGTGAGTGAGCCGGAGAAGTTGGAGGATTGGGGGAGGGGGGGGG